GGTGTTGCTGTTGTTGGTTGAGGCTGATGAGCTGCACAGCTAGAGCATCAGCTGTTGCTTCAGACAAGAAGGGATGGGTTTTGTGGCTAGACCTGAGCTACAGTGAGTGTGTAGGACTAAGCGATTAGGAAGTGGACCCAAGCTGGGTCCTGAGTTCCAGTCCCTGATGCAGCTTCTAGTAATGGATTTTATCCAATAACTGAGGATTTCACAGGCTGGTGCCTGGATACAGGTATGCTGCTTTTTTTCTGTCATTGCTGGATGACAGGAAGCCTATCAAAAATTTGGAGTGGAGTTTTCTGGATCCACAGCATTGTATCTGAGGAAGTAATTTTCAAATTACTAGGTTCTTCAGGACATTTAACAACACAGGCCATATTTTACCATCTTGAAAATGGGAAAATAATTCCTTTGTCCATAGTTCCCTTGGGGAACTTGCTCCTTACCTTGAATGATGCCTCTTTTTATTTTTCTAGTCATAACAATGCCATGAACTTAAGAGACATCCCTTAATGTAAGAAGACATGGCCTGCATCACAGCTTCAGGATCCAAAGCCCAAGGATTTCTGCTTGAACCTCCTATAGCTTGGAAATTTGCCCCTGTATCCTTCACAGAGTGGTTTTTATAAATATGAAATTGTCCTGCATGCTGAGATGAAGACTGTTCCCTCCCAGAGAATAAACAGCAATATCTCCTCCCTGAGTAACAAGCCATTTTAGTCTATCCAGGGGCCGGAATGATCTTCCCTGCTGATTTCAGTGTTTACAGATATGCATGGGCCGGGTGTGTGCGTGAGTGCACTGCTGCCTTTGGAAACCCAACAGGCAAACGATTGTCAAGACGATTATGTTGGGGAGATTGCGGAGGAAAACTGAGATGTGTAGTTCAGTGCCTGACAGATTGAAACCAGATGGAAAAGCAGAGCCAGCCTGGGCCTCACCCCTTAAAAGCATCAACACAGTGCTCAATAGGAAGAAAAAATGAGGAAGAGGCAGGGAAGAACTGTGCTTGTTATGAAAGCTGCTTTGGGAAGGACAGGAGGGTCTCATCAAATCTACTTCCTAGCAGAAGGAACATAGTTTTTGAGAGTGCTGAAGTTGTGCAAGATCCAAGATGACCCTTCCCTGCTTTGGATGCAACTCAGTTTAATTACATTAGGCTGACATTAGCAAAGAGGGACTTACCCCAGCTTCCATAGAGCTATGCTGATGTAAAATTGGTCTACCAGTGGAAAACATGCCCCATGGGTGTGTTTCAGTCAGTAGCTTATTTTGGTTGAGGCAGCATGGGACTTGTGGGGCTTGGGCTGGTGAGGTGTATGGAGAACCATGGGCCTGATTCGGCATCATCTTGTGCAGTTTACATCGGTTCGCTGGTCCAGGTAGATACAGAGCTGGTGGGTCCCCTTGGTTGAGCATATCCTCTTGACAGAGGGTACCATAAATCATTAGAAAAAGCTGTGAGGCTGCATTGTGGCTGCTGCAAAAGGACTGCTGTGCAGTCCAGAATGGACAAAGGTCCTCCAGAGATTTCTGCGGAGCTCAGAGCTGGGACCAGCATTAAAGTCCTCTGTAGACACTTCCAAAAACTACTTAGGCTTTCCAGTCCCCTAGGTAGGGAATGTTTTCTGTCTACCTATCTTACGGTTTGCTGCTGCTGCAGCCTGTCATCACCTTCTGCAGAGCTGGTGATGAAAAGCAACCCTGCAGCAGTATGGGGCAGCCTCTGCTCCAGCTGGTTCCTATTCAGTTAACGGCAGCAAATTCTGCTCCTTCTTGATGACGTCGTGGCCAAGGCTCCGCTATCGTCTGGCATGGCCAAGTGTGACGGGTGTAGGAGGAACATTCTTCAAAGCCTGAGAAAGAAATGCAGCCCCAGGAGCCATGTAAAATGAACCAAAGCCCATCGATGTATGATTTTCCTGCCAGGCACTTAGCTTCCACTGCATCACCTAACAAAGCATAATGAGAAGAATCTGAAACCAAGCTCCTCTTGCCTTCTCAGCACTGTAAATCACTTCCCTCCCATGCACTCAGCCTGCAGGAGCTACCGTTCCTTGCCAGGGCTATAACAGAGGAAGGATTAAAATGGCAGAGAAGAATCCTTAAAATTAGACAAAAGCCACATTTCCTTGTATGCATCTCATTTGATTTCCTCTACTTCATAGTGTGTTGTCTACAGTCTGTAATTTTAAAGTGAGGAACTAAATTTATGCCCAAGGATTGGACTTTCCCTTCCACCAGGATGAAAATTGAGGGGTGCTGCTCTCTGGTAGTCTCATCCAGACCGGGGAAAGATTCCGTATCCCCCACGGGTCGGGAGAAGCCAGGAGGTGGCATCACACAGACGAGGCCAGCGAGGGGACGGAGCACAAGGCTGAAGCAGAGCCAGGTCATGGGCACGCAGAGTCAGCTCAGTGAGTCAATTCCAGCAACGGGGTGTCTGCTCGTTGCACAAATCTGTGCTTGGAACAGGGCTACTGGTTAGTCCCCACGAAGCACACGCTGCGAGGCTGATTAAGCTCAAGCCTTTGCACAAGGGCAGTAGGGCATAAGTAACCCTGATCTCACCTCTTGAACCCTTGACAAGCCCTCAGAAAACCAAATGAGTGAAACATTTAGCAATGAATTTCATGCTGAGCTGTGCAGGACACCGTGTGCCTTCCATACCCCTGACCTGTAAAATACCCTGGGCCAGGCCTCAGCATTCAAGCTTTTAGTAATTGAAACCACAACAACTTTGCTTTTACATCTAGATTTGCCAGCACTTATTATATTATCTGCTAAAACCAGATAAGCAGCCATGGCTGGGGCAACACTCTGTGCTTGGGAAAAGCGTTCATTGGAGCATTGCAAGCTTATTTGTGTGAAAATAGACACAGCTACTGCACAGAGCAGGTGGGTACAGGGCACAGCACTGCCAGGGCTGCAGCGGGGTCTGGGACATCCTTGAGCCGTGTTATTAAGTGGGTGCAACACGTAGCCATCGCTACTACTTTTGGGGTGGAAGATATCCGGGTGGGCCATGGCGGGTGCCCCTCGTGCTGTGCCCACCCCAGTGCAAGGCCGGCATGCAGCCAAGTGCCGGCAGCCCAGGAGGAATCGCCGCTGGCCTCAGGCCTCCCCATGGTGGCTGGCATGCAGACGGGCTCCTGGGCTTGAGGGGATGAGTGCCAGATGCCAAGAACGTCCCAGGAGCGTTTTGAGACTTGCCTCTTCCCCAGGGAGGGAAAGTTCTCCCCATGGAGAAGGGTGAGCAATAGAGAGCCAGAGGGGGACAGCAAGTATCAGGGAGCACTTGTCCCTTTGACTCACTGTGGTCTTTAGCTTCCTCTCATAGGTTTATTAACCCCTGCAGTAGAAGCGTGCTGACCCCGTGCTTTAGGTGCCTCAGGAGCATCCGTCTCCTCTCTGTGCGGAGAGGAGACAAATTGGCAAGTGAGCGCTGAAGACGCCGGTGGCCGAAGCAGCTGCTGCGGGGAGGGGTTTGTTCTAACGCAGCGAACGTCACACATTTCTGCAGGATAAACTGGAGCATGGAGCCGTTAGGGACAGCATGGGATGTTCCCTGAGCTGTGAGATCAGCAGTGTCTCTGGTTCGCCTGGAGCACGGAAGAGTCGGAGGAGGCTCCTGCTTTCCTGGAATGAGCCGGGCGAAGCCTTGTCGCTCCTGACTGCGAAGTGGGCGCAAGGGCACCTGGCTCGACTAGCAAACAAGTCACCTCCCTCTCTCCTCACAAGAGGAATACCCTGGCCCCAGATAGAGCAAATGTGGGGATGGGAATGGTGAGGGAGGGTGGGAAAAGAGCAGGATGGGGAAGATGGATGCTTCTCTTGCCACCCACAGGCCACTAGAGCTCATCTGTGCCCTTCACACTTGTGGGAGCTAATGAGGAAATCAGGAAGCTGACGTCCCAGAGAAGCTCTTTCCACCGAGTCCCCCACACCACTTCCAAGGGAGACCAAGCCGTGGCCATGCTCATGGAGAGGGGACAGCAGCGGCACCTGCGCGCACCCCGGGCAAGGCTCAGTCCCCAGCGCGGGGCTCTCCCGTGGGCACCGCACACCCTCTCGTGGTGACGTGCTCGGGCAGGAGCACGGGGCGCCCGTGGGACGCTCCGGGGCTCAGCATCCCCGAGGGACACAAGCCCTGCAGGGAGGCACCCCTGGCTACGGCATGTGCTTCCTCTATGATTTCTACAAAATGTTTTCACCGTCTCCCCATCAACTGAGAATAACCTGCCCTCTCCCTCTGTCATCACTTTTCTCTCCCTGCCAGGAGCCTGCAAGATAAATCAGTTCTTTGCATAAACAAAAATGTGGTGAGATCTCGATGAAAAGCACGCCCGGAACCTTCTCACAATTGGAGTTTTTCCACGAGAGGCAAGAAGCAGAAAAGCAGAAGTTTGCAAGGAAGCGATTTCGCCTGCTTGCTGTCCCGTTTCCCTCCCTCTCCTGCTCCCTACGCTTGCTCAGACCTCCCACTTCTCTTGCACTTGCCGAGCCTTGCGGATGATGGGAGCCGCTGTGGAGGGCCAGCAGCACCCGGGGGGCTGCAGATCCCCCCTGCCGCTTGCAGGCGGGCGCCCCGGTGGTGGGGCGGGCGGAAAGACAGCAAAACAGCTCAGGAATGGGAGAGGTTCGATGGATCTTTACTCACACCTGCCCGGAGGCTCGGCACACGCTCACTTACGTTTCCTGCGGCTTTAAAGTTCCCTCTCGGCACAAAGGAAAAGAGGGAGGAGAAACATGGTTTCATCATCGCTCCGGAGCCCAGACTTATAAAAACTTTGCGCTCATGCTGCCTCGCTCGCAGACTTGGACAGTTTTCAGTTCTGACTGTACGAGATCCCGGTGGAGCGAAAGGAAAGAGAGGGAAGGCTTCGGAGAGCACCGGTCTTCTCGGGAGCCTGCAGCGACCCAGCAACTTGGGGCACCTCGGATCTGCCGGGAAGCTTGCTGCCCGTGCCCTCGCCTCCTGCGGTGGCCACCCACGCACGATGGGACTTCAGCCAGAAGCCAGCAAGTCCGCAGCCAACGGCAGTGGCCCCAAAAGCACTGGCCCCTGTTACCGAAACATCTTCTGCAATATTAAGGTAAGGATCGGGGAGCCGAGGTCCATCCGGCTGGCTTGCCCACGAGCTTCAGAAGGTGCCGGGTGCTCGGTGGGTTTTGGCAGGGCTCTATCCATGGTGGAGCCTCTGCTCCTCACTCAGCACGTGTGTCCATGCGTGCGCGCGTTCCGCCTCTTGGAAGAGGAGCACACGCAACGGGCTCCTCGATGCCAGCGGTTCCGCAGCTCCACGCTAGCCCTGGAGCTTGCCCGCGGTGTCCGGTACATAGTGTGCTGCTGCTGCTTAGGGAATGATTAACCACATCCTGGTACAAAGAGAAAGCACTGCTTTAAAATAATATTGATTGGCTTTAAAACATCTCGGCGGGGAGAAGCGCGCTTTCGGACACCGCCAGCGACAACGTCTGAGATGGGGCTCAGCCAGTGGGAACTCGCTTCCTTGCGGTCGTAGCCAAGTTATTCACCTGCCCCTGCTCAGCAAGCCCGGAGCAGGCGCTGGGAAGCCTGTCCCCAGCCCGAGCTCCAGGCAGGTGGACTCTGAGCTCGCTGCCGGCATGATAAATTGCCAGCCATCCTGCCCACCTCCTGCTGACATGCAGGATCTAAACCCTCCTCAACACACAAACACACTGCTTTTTCTTTCCTTTCTTTTTTTTTTTTTTCCTCCTCTGCAGCACTGTTTGGTCTGTTCCTGGACAGGCATAAATATTGCTGCACGTGCTGGTTTCCATCCGCTGGAAGGCTGGTTGTGCTCATCCAGCTTAGCAGAGCTTTCCTGGAGAGACTTCCATGCTTCACCTGGCAGCATCTCCTCCAGCTGACACCCCCAACTCGGGCTGGAGGGGAGCAAGACCTCCCTGCAGCACCTCTGTCCTGGGTGCCACCAGGAGCAGAGAGCTGGCCAGGGTGCCCTCTGCTCAGAGGGCCTGAGCAGAGCAGGACACTGCAGTTGCTACCTCATGAGCTGCTGCAGTGTGAGGAGCAAGGCAGGGGAGCAGCCAGCAGGTCCAGCCTTCCTTCGGTCCGTGTGTGATTTCCCTCTAGTGCTGCTCTGACCAGGCAAGTCCCGAGCTCCTCCAGGAGCGTGCGGTGAGATGTAGTGACCAACAGTGCTTGGGGTTCACTGGGGCCAGCGAGCGACAATCTGGGGGCTCCCGGGGCTGATTTTGTACCTGGTGCTGATCATAGAATCATGGAATCATTATGATTGGAAAAGACCCTCGTGAGCACCAGGTCCCACTGAGGACCTTATGGACTTGATGGCTCAGATGCCCCTGCAGTTCCACATTGCTGGGGTTGAGTTGTCCTAGCAGTGCAATGTGATGACTCTTTTCGGCTGCAAATTCTGGGAGCAAAACTTGGAAGCCGCGGGTAATCACGAGCCTCCTCTGGAACACGCTGGCAAACCTTCGTGGGGTGGGTGGGCTCTTAGACCTGACTCCCACCTCCAGCTGAGGGTCACATAATGGCACAAATGGCCTTCGCCCTGCTTCTGGAACCGCTGTGGATCGAGGTGCGTAGGGTTACCCAAAAACAGGATCCTCTTCCCAGTAAATATGCTTTCCTGGGAATTCATACAGCTCCTTTTAGCAGAGTGCTCGGAGCGGCCTGAGCTGCAGGGAGGCCTGGGTGTCACCTCCCAGCTGCCTCTGCCTTGTCTCACTGCAGGCAGCGCAAAGAAGATGCAGGAGCTTTTGCTGTGCCTTAAGGTGCCTGGTCAGCTATCTGCATGGTCAGGTTGTTTTGAGCCCATAGCTTAAATCCTCCAGGATTTATCCCTCTGTGTCGCTAGAGGATTTTATGTTTGTGCCAAGGGACACATTCAGGCTGCAACCTTCTGCGTAGGGAGAGGGATGTAGGAGATTCCCGTGTCCTGCTCCTCCTTTCTCCTGCTCCAGGCAGCGTGGGTACAGCTGTATGCAGCCACGGGGCTGTCAGGGGTGAAAAAAGAGCAAGCTGAAAGGAGCACTTTTGGCTTAGCTGTGTCACTTCATCTCTGCAGGTTCATGTGTGACCACAGTTAGATCGTCCCAGCTGATGGAAGAGAATAAGAGTAAAGAAAGGCAGCAGATTTAGCATTTGTAGAGAGGGTAGGAGCAAAAACTGACCCCTCCATGTGCCGTGGACCCCTGTCCTGAGGTGATCTTTGGTGATGTCTTTGCTTAGCCCCAGCGATGCAGTGGTGGCCAAGTGCCACATGCTCCAGAGGGATGGGGAGCCACCAGCTGCCTCTTTTCGACCTGCCTGAGCACATTTACCCAGGCAGAGCAGGTGGAGGGGTTGCCCAGGGTGGTCTGTCCGTACTACTGGGAACAGCCCTCGGTTTAGCTCACTGTTAGCAGCTGCTAGTGCTCGCAGGAGCATGATTGTCCCAGGGAATGTCCTGGCCAGGTCTCACCCACTGCTCCCCCCCCACATTATGATCCACGTTATCTGCAATACGTGCCCATCTGCAGGTGTTTGAGGAGCAGGATAGGGCTGGGAACCCTTGCAGGGTCTGGAAGGACAGCTGGAGATGCAGAAGGATGAGTGCAGAGACAAGTGCTCCAGGAGGTATTGATGCTTTGGATGTGACAGCTGCCGGATCCCTGCTGGCTCTAACACAAACAGGCATTTGCAGATGATCTCTGTACTCTCAGCCACTCACGTGGCTGGCGGCAACTCCTTTCTGCTGCTGTAGAAATTGCTGCAGGTCATATATCGATATTAATGACTATGGCTACCATAATGCAGTTAAACTGAAGAACACTAAAATACTATCAAATTGTTATTTGCGAGAGTCAGGAGATCAGCTCCACCTGGCTCAGCTTATGGCATGTTTCCCGGCTGCACCGTATCTCAGCACTTCCATAAACCTGGTTGTTTGTGTTTATTTTGTGAGTGCACTCTCAGATACGCCAGAGCTACCTGAACTCTTCCAGGAATTGCCCACTCATCCCTAATCAGCTTGCAGAGAGGAAGCAGAGTGCAGTGAACAGACGTCTGGGAAGTTGCACTGAGTGCTGTCTTATAGGAGAAACCTACAGTATCTTAGTAACTCTACAGTCACTAAAAAAAAATAATTTGAATGGCATTCTCTATTTCTAATGTCTAAGCCCCATGTTTAATATTTTGACTTCTTTGCATTTATTGTTTCTCTTGTGGTTTTGTGCTGTTTTAATTGATAGCTAATGGCTTGATCTGCATTCCCAGGAACATGACAAGGGAGAGAGATTTGTAAATGACATGTTGCTTAGCTTAGCGGGACAGTTGTCACCTGGAAGCCAGTGAGCTCAGGAGTGCAGGGGAGCAGAGGGAAGTGGCTGGGAGAGCAGGCAGGAGGAGACTTTTACCCTGTTTCTGCAGCCCATGATGCAGTAACCTGCAGAAACCTAATGTGTATAAGAAGGAAGGAGAATAAGAGAGGGGAAAAATGTGAGGTATGTCAGCTGGAATAAGTCCAGGTGGAGATGCAAAAGCTGGGGGGCACATTTAAATTGGATGCTATAAGGAAGCTTAAGACAGCAAGTAGCCTCAGCACGGGGCTGCCAATGTCCCTTTTTTCTGACCTGCCCAAGGGATTCAGCTCGGCTGTGCCTATGCAGTGAATAAAACTGCTGGATCAGCAAGCAGGGGAGCAATAGGGGAGTGCAGAGGAGTGGGAACGGGCAGATCAGGAGGAGATTGCGGGCTCTCAGATGTGTGGTAGAGATCTAAAACATCTGAGATCTTCAGGTGTTTTTAGAGCATGGAGGGGAGAGTGGAAGCAGGGCTGCCCTTTGCCTGGTGGCCCGAATGGAGTCTAAGTGGAAGGGCTTGCATGGGCCAGGCAGCAGCTGCTCTCAGTCTCCCCCGTGCAGCCTTGTAGAATTTCTTTTGCGAGAATGTCTGGACCTCTCAAATGAGAGCTGTTCGTTGAAGCCCACCTGCAAATGACGGGTCCTGGATGATGCTGCACAGCTTGTGCCACATCCCACCGTTCTTGTCCATGCTCAGCACTTTCTGGTACCAAAAGCAACACCACTGCTGGGAAGTCAGAGACCTCCTCTTCTCCTCTGCTTTCCTGTCTCTGTGGAGGGATGGCGAGTAGTGTCATACAGTGTTGGCTAGGGGGATTCACAGGAAGGTGGGAAGCTGGACACTGAACTCCAGGAATGGTCTCACACCTCTCTCCACGCTCTTCAGGTCTTTAAATCCAGATACTGCAAGCTGAGATTTGCATTATCTGGACTGCAGCAACACAGCCAGCATCAACTGTGTGTTTGCTGTCTTCTCCTTGGGAATACAGCATGCAGCAAGATGTCTTCAGTGGGAGAAATGGGAAACTTGCCTTGAAGTTTCCAATAGCATCGGAGCAAGTTTTGTCCTTTAATAAAATAAATTTGGCAAGAGGAGAGTATTTCAAAAGCTTGGGGTCTCATATCCCATTGAAAAGATCTTGAACTTCAATTGTACTGCTTTTATTTAGCCGTTGAAATTTTAGCAAAAATAGGAGATCCCCAGAATTGCTGACTACTGGTCAGAAGAGAGTTTTGGAGAGGGAAGCACTTGGAGAAGGCAGTCATTGTGGGTTAGGGCCATCAGGTTAAATAAGAACCAAGGATATATCCAGTACCTGCTTGAAAAAGGCAAGGAGTAATGGTGAGCTGGATGAGGACCTGGATGCAACAGAGCAGGCAGGATTCTTAGAATGAGGGACAAGTTGGTACTGAAAGAAATACCCATTGGGACTGGACTCTTCTAGCGTCCATGGCCTAGCAGTGTGGGCTTTAGAAAGCACAGACTGGGTTTTGATGGCTCTGACACTGGTGTGAACACAGCAAAGGGCATTTAGATCTGTTTTTGGTTGTAAAAGGGAAGAATTGCCTGGCCTTCATCCTTAATACCTACGGCAGGATGAGGAAGAAAATGGGGAAGATCCAGAGAGTAAAACAGGATGGAAAGTTTAGTGGGATCAAGGTCTAGGAGAAATGAAGCAAGTTAATTTTATGAGGGGTGAGGTGGTTCAGTGCCCAAACACAACCAAGGAGTGGTCAGCGCAGA